TGGTTTTTAGCGTATGGCGCACTTGGACCCTGCATGTAGCCGTGTCATTGTTCGGCAGCCTGCCATGCTCTGCAGATCTTGGGACTTAAAATAAACTGGAATTAATGGCCTGCCATGTGGTTTGGTAACATCAGGACTTTGCCTTTTTACTTGTCAACCTTGGGCTTCTCAGCTTCAGTAGCCAGCAACTGTCTGAGTGAAGAACCCAGTGAAGAACGCCTCTAGCTCCAGTGGGCCAGGAGCAGGAGGCAAAGCTAGACCCTAAGGTTGAGGGGCTTTCACCCAACCCCTAGAGCCTGGCACTTTGAACTTGGATTTAAAACCTCCAAACTGTAAAAGAATAAGCTCCTGTTTGTTAAGGCCATCCCATTTGTGGTATATTCTTGTCAGAGTGGCACTAGGTAACCAGAACAACTAGTATCTAGAATATATTAAGAACTCTCAAAACTCAACAGTGAAACATAAAATAATCCAACTAGAAAATGAGCTAAAGGCATGATGAGATATTTCACTAAAGGGAATATACAGATGGCAGATAAACATATGAAAAATTATTCAATATCAGTAAGGAAAGGTAAATTGAAACTAGTTAATTACCATTGTACACCTGTCAGGATTGACTAAAATAAAAAATAGGGACCACACCAAATGGTATGAGGATGTGAAATAACTAGATTCATACATTGCTGGTAAGAAAGTAAAATAATATAGCATTGTGGAGAAAAGTTTGTTAGTTTCTTTTCTTTAAAAAAACAAAAAAAATCTACGCATGCAATTACCATATAACCCAGCAATTGCTGTTTTGGGGATATATCCCAGTAAAATGAAAACATATTCGTACACAATCCTGTACACAAATGTTTACAGAAGCTTAATTGAGAATAGCCAAAAACTGGAAACAACTTTGTTGTTGTTATGTGCTGTTGAGTCAGACCAAACTCATAGGGACCCCTCTTTGGGTTCCCGAGGCAATATCCTTACAGAAGTAGATTGCCCAGTCTTCCTTCTGGGA